TTAAACGATCGCAAAATAAATGCAAATAAACTCCAACGAAGAATGTCTCACATCTAACGTTGAATATCGGTTAATCTGTTGTTCGCATTCCAGACAGCACTTTAAGACCCAACTCCCCTAGCCACGATCACGAATGGGGTTGGAGGGTGCGCATCAAATCCATAATTTATCTTGTGGAAACCGTTAACCTCCTGTCCCTCGCTTTTATGTTGTTTTGCTGTAGCTCACCCCCCCCTTAGCTCAGCGTCAGAGGAATTATCATTTATTCCTATATTGTAATTGATTTGCCTGCGCGAGCCCTACGCTCCGTATTCCAGAATGGATCTTGGAACTGAACCTCTCCACCGAGACGGGGTCTGTCTCCTTGTTTACTGCCCTCTGCGTCTGCCTCTTCTTATCGTTAATGCCACAGTTCCCGTTCCCTGCGTGTGTGTCTCCGCATGTGTCTGTCTGCATGTGGAATGTTTTTGTTTGGGGCAATTACAAGTTGGCACTCCTTGGTGTCCCAAGGAATGGAGATCGGACCGCCCATGTAGGTACTCGTACTCATACGCATACTCAGTGGAAGCTCTCTCAAGAAAATAGCTCCCTTAACCTTGGCCCTGTTCCCATAACCATTCGGGCACATTTGTTTATGTTACTTTTATAAAATATTATTCCCTAAGCCCGAAATAAAAAAGCGTTCTATTGGCGGGACAGCTCACCGATTGGGAATCTCCCATAACAGCAGAAATTTCATAGATCCCATATGCTAATATGTTTCCCCTACGATCAGAGCATTTCTCGATGTTTCGCACTGCACTTCTCACTTCACTGTCTCCAAATCTCTCTTTCTCTCTCTCTCTCTACACACATGGATTTATCGCTCTCCCTTTCGGTGAATACCTGAGCAATGACGCAGCACTGGGGCGATGCCAAAAGCAGCAGCGCAAAAAGCACACACACACATTCCAACGAACACAAAACGCATTTAATAATTTTAAAACGTGCTGAATTTTGTAATCAGTGCTGCAGTCAAAGTACCCGTCGTTTGCCTTTACTCTCCTCACAGCCAAGCTCCACGTCTGTCTTTGCACCTTAGTTCCTCTTTCGTTGGATCGATGTTGTCTCTTCTGTTATTTCAAAGGGTTTCTTGCTCTCTTCATCTTCGTCTACACCTCTCTGCCACTACACCCACATTCTACCCATTCTACGCAAATTTGCAAAGCAGAAAATCAACAACTGATAAGAAACATCAACGCAGGTGTTTCTCAAGATATTGGAATCGTATTCGATGGAGTTACAAACACATCTATTATCAGGACAGATATACAAAATTATTAAAAATGGTTGGGAAAACAGGAATACAAAGTTTGAAAATGAATCATTGACTAAGCCTTTCTTTCCATCCCATTCAATCAGTTAAAGTTCTCTCTGGGACATTAAGTTTTTTGATTGGTACTTTTGGTCTCACATTAATTGAATCCCTAACTGGGATAATAAATAAATATTTATAATCATAATCATATCACATATTTGCGTTAGTGTTTTATTATTTAAACAGCTTGTTCTCGATTCAACAGTTGTTTTCGAATTAAATGTGTTTAGAAACATTTTGTAAACATACGAGGAGTGATTCGGTGAATAGTGTCTTCGGTGTCTTTCTGGAATTTAATCGTAACGATTGTGATTGAACTCTCAGTCTTACTCTCGGAGTTTCACCCCTTTGAAGCTTAAACTCCAGAGACAACAGTCATTGTCGCTTCCACCCCATTAATAACCCCGATTCTCTAAAGAGATCACGAGAAGAAAATCGATACTAAACGAAAAATGAAAAAAAGGAATGTCATAGTGAATCACACAGGTGTGCGTGTGCACGAGAGAGTCAGAGAGCAATACGCGCAAACAAAAGCTACAACAAAAGCAGCAACTGGCAGCAGCTTTGCCATACGGCTCTCCCCGTCAATCGGTATTTGCTTAACTGTTTTGTTCCCCTCAAGAAAGAAAGGGAGACGTAAAGAGCAGAGACAAATAAAACAAGGGAAACAGCAGCAGCACAGGCTGTGATATCAGTAGAGTGTGTGAGTGTGAATGTTCGTGTTTCTCATGATTGCACAACAAAAATAAGCAGTTAAGGGCGTAACTCCACCTCCACCCACAGTACCACCTGTACCGAGCAGGTACTCCTAGACCAAGGTGAATTTACCTATAAGTAAATCAATTCTAAGCAAATTCGCCTTGCCCTAGACCACAACTCCTCGTTCTCTCTCGTGCTCTTTCTCTCCGAAACTCTTGGTTTTATTGGCACCGCTAGCACCGTTACCGCTTACTGTTTTTAAAGCTATTTTTAAAACAGCGTGATCTCTCGGCAGCCGCAGCACTGCACTGCTCTTTTGCACTCTCTCTCACTTGCTCTTGTTCTTTGGGTTATTTATCTCCTTTCCTGTGCTGTTGTTTGTGGCTCTCTTTAGGCTGTACTTGATTTTCCTTCTACTTGTACCCCGTACTTCGGTGGACAACTGCTACCTTATTGCAAAAAAGGGTATCTAGACGATATAGTCTGTTAAAACTTTAAACAGATGGTCAAATTATATGGTAATACAAATTTTAAAAAAATTTAAAAGAACAAATTAAATAGATTTGCAAACAGAACTATTACATGTCTACCTAACCAACAAAAATCATACTGATTGAATTACAGTACATTATTAATGTACAGAATGTACAGAATTAATGTACAGCACATAAATCCGAGTAGCAAGTATCCTCTAGTCCGCATATCGAATATTATTATTGTGATCTTTTTGTTTGCTTCATAGGGGAGCCAATTTGTCTCGCTGGCATTCTGCTACTGCTGCTGCCTACTGTTGCTGTTTTGTTTTGCATTTTTATGAATGAATGGCAAATCACTGACTCTTTCTATTTTATACGTATGTACGTATGCACGTACATACGTATTTTTGTTAGGCTGATAAACCGCCTTGAGCCAACAAAAACAAACACAAAAATATCATTATCGGGGGGTACTCGTCGTACGAGAGTTTTATTATGTTATCGACAGCAGAGCTGAAAGGGAAATGCGAACGCGAACTGACCTATAATAAGAATTTTCATATTTGAGCAGCCCCCAGAAGGCAGAAGAGGAGACTGCAAAGCAGCAGAGGGGAGGTGAGGCCTTCCATTGCAATCGAAGCATAAAGAGGAGGAACAGCGGAGAGCACGAAATGTAAATTAAAATTCCATGAAACGCAAAACAAACGAAATAAAAGAACCGCAGAATTAAATACTCTTGAATATCCCATGGTTCTTGCGAATATTCTTACTTATAAAATATAATATTATATATATATTATATAAAATATATATATATTTCTTCTTAAAATATCCACTGGAGATCGATACTCCCTATGCGACTAGATACAATCAATATTGTATGACTTATTAAATTCTGTATAAATAATGTTGTAATACCCGCATGAAGAGTAACCCGCAATATAAATCAACAGTAGGAGTACGATTACCACGTCTATGCGATGGATTACACCTGATTACTCAACAGATTTCCACAGGTGCAAGTACTTCTATACAAAGGAAAGGGAATATTTAATTCCAATCACACCTCGGCCTTACCCATGAAGGTACCAAAAAGGCAGACAGGAAATCGAATGGGATATTTACTCCCTCCACCTGTAGATTGTTCATACATGTATCAAAATCCTGTTTGCTTCAAGTTTTTTCTGTTTTATGAGTCAAAAAAGGCTGAGCTGTGTAATTAAGTAAGCAAAGAAACAAAACTCTTGCAACGCCAAACAAACGTGGTTCATTCATGGCCAAAATGCGTTGCACTGTTCCACCAATGGTGTGATGTATTAAAATAACTGGTGAATAGGTATATTGGTTTTGGTGGCTAGACTAGAAATACGCCATATACGAGTAACATTTGTTAATTGGAGAAGGAAATATTTAGACTCCCACTCTTCCATAGTCTGCTCTCCTTTGATGTCATTTGAAACAAAAGTCTCAATTCTCCTTTGGAAACAGGTGACTGCACTTTAGCGACTATAAGGCCATAAGTAGAGCTGTAAATAGTTTCCAACTATAAAACGAAAGCATGAGAAGCTACTTCCTTTTGCTGGTAATATCTCAAGAGGTACACATATGACTAAGAGGTATCCCATTGGTTGATTACCACACACTCTTTTGGTATGAGTATTTCTTTATGGGCCCCCCATTCATTCCTCATGCAATCATTCCGGATGATTGTCTGATTGATATGCCTGACGCATACTCACACTCGTGGAGCTGTCTCTGCTTTTTGTTTTTATTTTGTTTGCTTATGATAAGAGTTTTTTTTATATCAATGTCAAGTTAGCCATAAAAAAGGTTTTTTTTTTGTTGGACAACGTCGACAAAAAGCAGATTCAGAAGGTGACCCCAATTCGAACGGTAAATGTGTATGTCCGCCCACCTGTGGCCCATCCGAAAAAATGTAAGCTAAACAGTTGACACTGTAAATTAGGCAGCAAGAAGAAATAAAAGTAAATTAACCACCGAACAAATAACAACAGACAAATCTCTGGTGACGTCTTCGCGCGCTGTCCAGTCATCCTCATCGGCGCTGTAAATCAGATCATAAATCATGCTGCGCCACAAAGCCACTGACAAATAGCCTGACAAATGAGACAAATACACAGAATATGAGGGATTGCCAGAGATGTGAAGAGTATATATGATAATACATACGTGTAGAAAGCTACAAAAACATTTAAAGAAAATGTGTACTGCCCTGCAGTTTAGGGATACCATACAAATTGTCCTCGAATATTTATAATTAACAATATACATAAAACATAATTAATCCACATAAAATCCGAATTCTTGTCTCATTTTAACTCCTTTCACCCTCACTCCTATTCCAGTGAAATAAAGGAAGCCGCAACAAAAGCTTTAATAGAAGATAGAAGACGTCACAGAAGCAGCAACACCGTCTCTTACCCACAGACTTAACAGAGCACCCGCTCTCGCTTGCTCTCACGCACACTTAGCCATGCCACAAACCAAATATCCGATAACGCATCGCCTACCGCTGCTGCTGCTGGTGCTGTTAATCGCCAAAAGTGCCGCTGGCGTCTCTGTTGTCTCCTCGGCTAGTCTGCTGCCCTCGACACGCTTCTTCTATGCTGCGGCGGCGGCCCCCGCCTCATCAGATGCCACTTCACAGACAAAGGTGCGTCTGCTGCGGCAGGCAAATGTTGCAGCCGGGGCAGGGGCAGGGGCAGCAGAAACAGCGGCAGTGCCGGAGGATGAGGGAAGCTGTTGCCAGGGAGCATCCGCAGCTGCAGGAACACCTGTAACGGTGAGTGGCTTAACAGAGTTGTGAAGAGGGGATATCTTAACAGCTGTACGAGGCGAAACCAGAAGGAATAATGGTGGGAGCTTTGTATTGAATGTGATGGGTAGGGAAATTTTATCAGTGATCGGAAAAGGAGAAGACTAGTGGATGGTTGCGCCTATATATTAACAGTTGCAAGAGGAGATATTTGAACATGTATTTAGTAGAAGATATTTGAGCCGAGTATGGAAGAAGGAACAGAATAACTCTCATTTCGAGGGGTGTGGTTGTGGGATGGGATGTGCAGTGGCGCCACAACTCTTACGGCGGCGCCACAGTGTCGTCTAGAGACATTGCATATTTGGGTCAGCTTTCAGCGATCATCGCATTTGTTTGCAGTTTGATAAGACACAACCCCAACTCGAACCCCAATCCAATGCCATCTTACCCCACCCCGCCAACATCTTCCATTCCCATGGACAGTGAAGTCGTCGCACAGTGGGGCCTCAGTCGAGAAGAGGTGGCAAAAGTCGAAACAGAAAAAGTCATAAAACATTTTCCAGAGTGTAAAAAACGTAGAATTGTAGTTTATTTCATGAAGATACCTCTTAATTCGTTCAGGCTGAAATGGCTGAAGGCCCCACTGTGCGTCGCCAGTCATCTTCTCAGCCTCTCTCTGCCTCAGAATCTCTAGTTTCTGGCTGTTTTTTTCTGGGGTTCTGTTCTGCTTCTACTGCCATTGATAGCGATCGCCTTGATTCCAAAACAAATAATTCGCATTACGTCTCAGCCATACCCATGCCCATACCCCTTCCCACATCGTCTTCCCAGAGCTTTTGTTTGCGTCAATTCAAAAATAAACAAACCAGTGCAGGGCTCCATTTTCTCTGCTCTCTCCTACTCCTAATCTGCCTCCTCCCACACCTGCTCTGCACTTCGTTTCTGCTTCGGATGCGGCAGCGGATGTGGATGTGGATAATGGAACGGGATTTTTGGCTTTGCTGTGTAAACATCTGGTAGGATCAATTTCTAAATACACAAATAAATAGCTGATAGCATAGAAAGCCGCAATTCGTTTCCTGGAAGCCTCTATTATTTATCAGAAGATTACTTTTTACGTTTACAAAACGATTCGTAATCGCGGAATTTAATGGGCGTCTTGGTTATGATTCACTACTCGAATTCGATGGCAAAAGATAGCAAAATCCTAATTCTCATTGAGATCAATGATAATTTCCAGGTATTACAGGGCATACCCTTACGGCCTGTTTCTGTCATACGTCTGTGGGGGGTTTTTTATGCTAATCGGAAGTTGGTTCCTATCAAGATCTTTTGCAGAAACGAAACTTCCCATTGAGTTTGGATTTGTTGTGATGTCTATGTGATGCCGGCTCTAATCATTTCCTCACGAACATAGTCGTGTCGGTTGCCCTTGAACTTTCTCTGTGCTGCTTCCATAATTACAACACAAGAGAGTGAACAAATGGCAAACCGTTCCGGGGCGCTAATGAATCATGGCCAAACGATGCGATCGGATTGGCGCCGGCAGCGTCAGACGCTACTACTACATTGAAGCTGATGATGCCGTGCCAATTGGTCAAAGCACCTGGCACGTGGCATTTCCCTCACTTCACCGAAACAGAAGCAAGGGAATGACGCACGACAGCACCAGATATATAAAAAACACGAATAACTGTTCGAGCTTCAAGCTATTTGTTACCTGGAGATAGCAACATTTCTATGCAGTTGTCGTCTGTCATTTGTATATCGACGTCAATGCAGGGCGAGAGAGAGAGGAGAGGCAGCAGCAGCGATCTCTTGTACGTGTTCTCACAGTTGTTTAATAACACTAATGCCTGTTGCTACGATGGCAATAGTTATCCGACGCCATCCAGGGGGAAATACATACATTTTCTACTGAAATAGCATCTCCTAACGCTGCCAGTTTTCATGTAGGATCTGCTGCAGGCCTTTATTTTGGATTCTTCTTTGAGAATATTTAGTTTATATTTTTTAAACGAATTCCGTAGGTGAAGTTGGGGGTAAAGCTAAGGAAAGTCTTGTTTTTGGGGGTGTGCCAGAATACCTAGGGGTTTCACTATAAAAGATTATGTCCGTTCACTTATGGGAAATTTACTTTCCAATGCAATTTGCTAACCAAACCACTGATTTCATTTATTTGTTTCTTCATTAGTTGCCATTGGAACTTGCAACGGACCTGAGCAATATTACCGCCGACTACGATGTCTCTGGCGAAATATCATCCAAGGGTGAGTGGAAAGACATTTGAAAGCATCTACAAATTCATTTACGCTGTCTTCTTTTTTGTTCCCACAGAGAACTTCAAACGCAGCGTTACCCGATGTAAGATCTTCGTTGATTCCTGAACTGTGCGAAAGTCAACAACACCTGACCTTTAGAGAGAGTTTGTAGGCAGGATAAGCTAGAACTTTAAGGGCATAGATGCAACGCCTTGATTGTTAGGCTTTTGGTTGATTTCTTTCATTTAAAGTAGATTGAGGCAGGGCGAAGCGATTCCCACACTTAATATATTTGAAGAACAACATAAAACCCACACGACTGATATATTTACCTTGAACTTGTGTTAAGTAGTTGGCATAAAACAAGAGCATTTTGAGCTCGAAAGAGCTGCAGTTTCTATGTAATTATAACTTCGAATAGAATAACCACAATCCCTTATGTTGGGTAACATAATCTCGAGCTCTTTCGGTTATTCGTCGCCCAGATTGTAAAAAAGGTTTCCATTGATTTGTGGCATGATGAGGTAGAAGAATGTAGAAATCTACGAGAATGCAATGTGATTTATAAGGAATGTTATAGTAATCCAAAAAACAAACCTTAAAATGTATCTTTTCGGTCTCTCTCTTGCAGCTACCATACGGAAAGCGACGCCCGCGATCTGCTCACCTCAGCCCACCATTGTGGAGCTGAAGCCGCCGAGCGATGAGGCGGGTGGCTTCAATGTCTACTATACGCCTGCATGCACGCGCATCAATCGCTGCAATGGCTGCTGCGGCTCCACACTAATCTCCTGCCAGCCCACACAGACGGAGAAGGTGCAGATGCGTGTGGGCAAATTCGAGCGTGGCGTCACCTCCAAGCGGAGCTCGGAAATCATTGTGGTGGAACAGCACTTGGCATGCCGCTGCGATTGCCGCATCAAGGCCGAGGACTGCAATGCGTATCAGCTGTACAGAAGGGAGCTGTGCCGCTGCGAGTGCCAGAATACGGACGCCAGAGACAAGTGCTTGGAGCAGGCAGACACCAAGTACTGGGACGATGCCAATTGCACCTGTGCCTGCCGCTACAACCAGAGCTGCACCACCGGCACTGTTTTCGATGAGACGCAGTGCAAATGCACCGATGTGAGTCTGCGCTGAGTGCCCTGGAGTGCAGGGGATTTTATGGCATAGATCAATTGGTGATAGCTTGGTGTGTGTTTCGGTTGTGGTTATGTCCCAAATTGTTGTGCTCCCAATGCAAAACCACAAACTCTCACAAGTTTTATCCTAAAACAAATTCCAATACAAGTGTGATTCGTTTTTAGTTTTAGTTTAAGTAATTTGTTTTGGTCTCTTGCTGTTTATAACTGTATGTACCGTATTGTCTTTTTCCTCCATCTATTCTGTGTTCTCTTTATGTTTCGTTTTAGATCCAAAATGTCGAGTATTATTCGTAAAATTCGTTAACACACACACACACACACACACACACAAACAAACAAACACACTGTTCCACGGTTCTTTCCGTTAATTTGTTGTTGCAGAAAATTGCTAAAAATATTTGAAGAATTTTATAAACACTTTTAGAAAGCGAAAGAGAGAGAACTAAATCTCTTTTCTTTGTGATAATCTCCTGCAAAACGTAACTAAAATTAAAAGTCAATGGCACTTTATGCTAAAATGTAACTTATAGTAGCGCTGTGTTGAGGCAAGACAGAGAAAAAGAGAGATAGAGGGAGTGAGTGGAGAGAGTGGAGTGTGATCCCCGAAGGTTTCATTGCATTGTGTGAGTACTTCCCTCCTGTTGTGTGTCCCCGCCCCCCCAACCATCCTGCATGCAGCCATAGCCTAAATCATCTAAATACTCTTTCCACATTTCAGAGTCAATCATTGCTACTGTTCCTATCCCTAACTTGTGCCTAGAATTAGTTTTGTTTTGCTTGGATAACTAATTGAAGTTCATTTTATTTGATATGTAGCCATCGGCCCCTGTTGATGTGGTGGATCGCAAGCGTTTCATTGTGCAGGCCGTGGAGGTGGAACCCGACAACACCACGCTGTATCATGTGTGAGACTGCAGCGAAGGGAAGGATGTAATGTGGGACCAGTATGAGGAGCACCAGCTGGGACCGCAGCCTAGAGTGGCGAGAGATTGCACTGAGAAACCCACAAATTACACAATGATTGCTTAACTATGCTTAACTGCACACGTACTTTATATTATTTATAGTTATTGATTTAGACTTAGTCTATTACTACACACATTCCATTCCCCTCTCTTCCCCCCCGTATTCAGTATTCTGTCTGTGCAGCCTAAATATTAATTATTTATTTAGGCTTCTTTCCATGTTCCCCAATGTTTAAGTTTAAATGTTTTCGCAATAATTCAACAGAAATTTCACTTTTGCCACACATTTTTTTTTTTCGTATGCAAATTTTGTAGCTTTAAGCCCAGCCATTCCCAGAGAACGATGCAAGAGAATATACAAAGATTATTGAAATAATATTTCCACATACATAAAACGTGTATTTTTCTTATGCAGTCCAAGAACTAAGTACTTAAAAAATATAACAATATTTAAGGAACTGTTTTCCTTTCCCTGGGGGACTGCAGCTGAAAGAGTAGCTTGCATTGTACAGATGTATGTCTGGAACCTGAAGGATCGAGGCTCTGCACAATGCTCTGTGCACTGGAAATGCAGCAACCCTTCTATTCTTCTTCTTAGCTTGGGTTATGATCGAGAAGAGTTGACAGCGACAAGGCAGGCCAGGAGGAGTTATCTGTCATCTGAACTGTCTTGACTATTAGGTAGGCATAAATAAATAAATGAACAAGCAGTCCTAAATATTAATGTTGGATAAGTCATTCAGTCATTAAAACAAAAATAAATCGAAATTGCTTAAAATTTGCGCTAAACATGAACGAGAATGAAGAGGGCCCGAATAAATTAGCGAAACTGGAGAAGCAGCAGATATCAGAGCTTGAGATGATGCTACAGGAAAAAGTGAACAAGCTTGACCATTGGGTTAACGATTTGTTGTACTCGTTTTGCACTCAAAAAACCAACGTCGAAGCCCTTTGTAGACTTGTGGTCCTCATGACGAAGGCTCGGGATGAGTATGAAATCGTCAAGGAAAGCTTGGTGGAGATGCAACGTAATGTGGAGAAGCAGACCATAAAGAAACTGATCACTCACATAGACGCCGCATTGTTGCACATCCGTGTGGCGCAGGACCAATACATGATTACCCAAATGGAATAAAACCAAAACACATTTATTCGACACACTTTTTAAAACCAGCAAACACCGCTAATGTTTACCACAATTTCATTCAGGCAGTTCCATAATACACATTACAAAACAAAAACCAAGTTTTCTTTCATCTTGTGTAACCGTATCGCAACGGTTCATAATGTCTACCATATGCAAAAATGAATACATGCACATTATAAATAAATATGTCTAACTAATATGTACTACATTTCTATATGTGTCATCTGTTAACTTTCTTTCTACCATTCCTCCTTTGCTTGTTGGGAGCGGATGCCTGTAAGTATAGACGATTCCCAATTCGCAACTTTTCAGTTGAATTTCCTCGCGCCAAGGCTTTGAAAAAACTTCCATTATCGCCCAAAAACATTGACCTTAATAAATATTTGCAAAAAGGTATATCGATATGTCTAGTTCACTGCAAGCGTGAATACGATGCTTGTTGAGCGCTTTCACATAGAGTTTTCTTTATATTTATCCGACAAAATCCACATTTACATTTTTAATGCTGAGAGTCCTAACCATTTAAGATTCACAGAATATTTACAGTATATTTTGAATATGCAGGGTATATTTCCGAGGGTCTGTCGGTATATCTTATCGATAATTCGGCGGTCACACTGATTGCAAATTGTAGGAAGAAAAATGGAAAAATGGTCTCACAAATTTTTTCCCCGCGAACAATGAAACAACAAAATAGTGTCGAATTTTTTTCTAAATTCTGAAAAGTCCGTTGATTAATTTGTTAAAAAAAAACAGATAATATCGCCCTCAAAAAAATATTTAAGAAAAATATATTCAACATCCCTACAGTTCGCCGAGTCGGAAGTCGGAGTTGTGTGCATAGAAGTTTGAGGAAAGAGCCGAAAAACGAAAAATCGAACAAGGCGGATAGCGAGAAACGCAAAATTAACACATCTGCTTGCCATACAAAAAAAATAACCAAAAACCAAACCAAACCAACCCAAGACCAAGACCAAGACCGCCTTACATCGTGCATCGCATCGCACTCTACGTCGTCCTCTGTCCGTTCTCCCACCCCCCCTGTATTGCCTGTTCTTCGAAAAGCGAGCAACAGCAGCAGCAGGCCCCAAAATCAATAATCTGGTTGTGTGGTTTTCGCGGCTTTTTTTTTGTGTTTTCTTTCAAAAACAATCAATACCCGAAGGTAACGTGTGTAGAAACAAAATCTAACAATTCCACCTCTCAGTGTGCGTTTGCGTTTGCGTTCGTTGACGCTTGACATATTGGTACACATTTTCTTTTATATTTTTACCTTATTTGTCGTTTTTATAACAAAAAAGAACCCCATGCATGCAAATGCCTTCCCCCCAATCCCCACAAGATCAGTATCGTAGTCATCCTCACACCCCATTAGCCATCCATCCCCCTCAACAATCTACCTTAATACCAAACTTCCTTCCCCCAAACAATATTCGCACCAAAAAATATGAAATACACACGCACACACATACCCATACAGGCGTGCGTACATACATATATCTGCATGAAACTTTAAAATTATTTGCTTTTTCCGTAAACGGAGAGAACACGATAAATATATACATATGCATAAAAGAATGGAAGAGAGGAGAAGAAAAGAGAAGCGAAGAGCGAAACATGTTAATGCCAAAACAAACACGAGAAACGAATCTTGCGTGCAAACGAAAGGCCGCCGCTTTAGGTTTACCTGAAAAAGCACAGCACAGAGATCTTGCGTACAAACATATGTATGTATGTACGTATGTATGTACATACTGCCGGGGTACGCAGTGCCGCCGAAACAGCGAAACACATGACTATTGTACATAGAATGGCTGGTGCTGGTGGTGGGGTGGGGTATATAAAAGTACTGTATGTATTCATATGTACATATGTATATTGTTTCAAGTACTCAAACGCCCTAATTATTCTCATATACATTACGAATTGTACAAATGTGCGCCGGCGGCGGCGGGCTGTCGTACAAAATAGTGCATTTCGGATACGTACGATATGATATTCGGTTCTATATCGCGATCTAATCACAGCAAACATTATTGGCTTATAGGGCCCAATCAGAAAGGCACAGACGTGTCCTATCTGTTTCCAATTTTGCCAAAATAATCTTTTTTAATTTTTGCGCCACATGTGTATGGGACTTGGAACACATACATACATACATAGATCTGTTTAAGTGTATGCACGTACGTGTACCTTCTGTTTCAGACTTTTATGTGAGTGCTAAGAATTTTGCAATGCGTTTTCTTCTTACGGTACACGTGGTCGAATGGTTCGCTTAATCATGTCACCCACCCACCATACACCATCCCTTCCATACCTTTTTTGTTGTTTTCTTCCGCATGGGAGTCATGGCATGGGCTGTCTGTCTACACTTTTATCTAATTAGTCGCAGAGGATCTACTGCTACACTGCTACTACTTCTGTGAACAAATCAAATGTCTAGCTCTAGCGAATAGATTGTTTTGGGTGCGGTCCTCTCATCCTGCTTATCCTTATGCCCTTTTTTTGCGCGCATGAACTGCGGGGGGAATGTAGTATACTTAGAAGGAGCTTCGGCCTGCCGATTGTGTGTGTTGTCTATGTGTGTGCGCTTTGCTTTTATTTGTTAAATATGTATTTCCATATGTACATACATATGTATGTATGTATGGTGTTATTGTTGTTATTTTTATTGTTGTATGTGTTTTTGACCCGACCTCTGACACACCTTTCGTATATTCACATGATTGATAAATACCGAATGATAGAATGGGCACAGAAACCAAGAGCAACAGTTACACAGGACAGATTTCAACAAGTGGCGGCAATCCAAAAGTGATGAAAGATTCTTTATCCTTAGTTCGTCAAACGGTCAATCAGCAATCGCAATCGAATCAGAATCAATATCAAAACGATACCGATAACGATAACCATTTGAATTCAAACTCAAAATCGTATTCAAACGCAACCAAAACCAACCAACCAGAGACAAACCACACGGAGAAGAACATATCGCCATCGACCAACGAATCAAAGAAGATTATTGTACCCTTTGTGCCCATTTTCGTTGAGGAGGCTGATGTAATTCAAGGGGCAAAAGAGCTATTGAAGGTTATACGACCGAACTGGGATCTCGCCCACGTTGAATTTAAGGTAATGTATAACCTAACCGTCAACCATCAATCATCAATAAAAGAAAACACCCAAAGACATCCTACACTACACCCAATCAAATACATAGAACCAAACCATACATTCTATTCCCCCACCAACATTGACTACCTCTACCTTCAGCTTCTTCTGCATCTGCTTCAGTGTCGCAGTTCCCAGTGATCATTTGAATCACCAAAGAATGGACTGAAATGACACTGACTGTTCCCCACAAAGCGATGGTGTTTTTTCCACGGTAAAATGTAATCGTATATTTGCTATGGCCATATTCTACATGCACACACACACACACACACACACACACACACACACACATTATGTACAGTAAAACAGATATAACTTCCAACTAATGTACTCTGGGAAAGTCAGACAAAGGCACAGAGGGAGTAGCGTAGCGTAGAGTGGGGTGTAGCGTAGGCTGATTGCACAACCTTCAAATAGCAATTATGTATTATACTTGCATACACACTTTACTATATATGTACATATAGTATAAATACTGCGATATTTCGCTACCTTGAAGTTTGTTATTTACTTATTGTGAGCCATGGAAATTAACATTTATTTATTTGTTCCCGCTGGTGTTGGTGTTTTTTATTTCTGTTTTCCGTTGGGGTGTTAGGACAATCCGAAACGTAGTAGAAACCAGTTTCTATTTTTTTTTTTTTTTTTTACTTTTGTTTCCTAATCTCGCACCAAGAAAGAGGCGCCTGCGTGACGACGTAGAGCTTTAGGCTGTAATCTCAAGTCCTTCTCCAACAGGTGCATTGACTCGAGTGGCCCAACCATATATTACGGATGAAACAGATAATATACTATATGGGTTGAGTGTGCGCTGATAATGTTCTTCCTCCACTGATACGTTGATAAGAGCCAAAGAATGTGTGCGCTGTGCCCAGCACAAATCTACACTGAGCGAGGAAAAATCCAAAGCAAGCGATTGTAAAAAGTTTCCATTATAATCATCTGATTTCTTTTGGCTCAGTGTAGCCATAAATGCTGCTTAAGCCATAATTCTTTTTTAAAAATGGGCCGCTCCGACTCTGTTCCTTATCGGTGCGCTTATGACTTGACCTCCGACTTATGTATGTAGAAGTTGTACCTATATAAATATGTACAATGTACAATATACACTGTAGGGGTGTTTAAAGTCTAATGAGTCTTATAATATGTATGCTAGGCACGCAATCTATTCATCTACAAACGTTTCTACAGTACGTTTCAGAACCATAGCAACAGCCAAGATCTTTCTCGAATGTCATAGATAATTACGTTTTGTTCTTACAACGCTAGAATACATAATTTCAATCCATGTACGAAATTAATTAAAACATTAAATGATAAATGGCAGAGCTAAGTTTCCCTTCACCTAGGGGAACTTTGTACCAGCGAATCACAGCGCGTCATTCGCATCATTCGACAATTGTTCGAGCGGTCATAGGCTTCATTCTATATTATCAACAAGTCTATATATTTTCTACATATTCGCCCGGTTATGGGTCTGCCCATATTTAGGGTTTTACTTGATATTTTCATCTAAATTTTAGAGGTGGCGGCGCCCCATGTGTGTGAGGATTATCTCGTAGAGAGGGACACATTCGGCAACAAGCCAGAGGGGGGCCTAATGTCAAAAAGTTTATCACTAGCAATTCTACACGTACCTTACCCCTAAAAGTACATACATGTATGACGTACATATGTACACAAAGTGAATGCGTAGCATGTGCCAGCGATAAGAAACCCCCATCCCCCTTTCTTTGTTTTTTGTTTTATTGTAGAACTGTTCCGGCTTTAACGAACGTTTTACTTATTATTTTGTTCGAAATGTTTCCATTGAAAAAACCCAAACTAAAACCTTAATGTCCGTGCGGTTTTGGTTAGAGCTGTGATGCAATAGCTGCATACCTAAGTAACCACTCCAAACTCCTCCCCCATAACCTCATAACGTTGTTGCACATAAACTGGGCCAAGGGGCAAACGAAATTAATAATTGAACATTTTATTGATTTCAGAGTTTTACTGATGGCATCACAAACAAACTGGTTGGTTGCTTCCACAAGCCAACAACCAAACTGAAGAGGAGCGATGAGAAGGACGCCGATGACAAAGAACAACAAGAGCCATATGTACCCCCCATCAAAGTTGAGGATCATCCAGCAGTGCAGGAGGAGGACAAGGACGAGGACGAGGAGGAGTTTACGGCGAATGGGGAAACAGATGGCCTACCTCTACAGTACTCCGATAACGTAGTCCTGGTCAGGGTATATGGAAACAAAACGGACCTACTGATCGATCGGAAAGCTGAAACGCAAAATTTTCTACTATTGCATACATACGGCCTAGCGCCATCGCTCTATGCAACATTCAAGAACGGCCTCGTCTACGAATACGTACCTGGTACCACCTTAAATACTGAAAGTGTTCTGTGTCCAGAGATTTGGCCCTTGGTTGCTCGTCGCATGGCTGAAATGCATCGTAAGGTTAGAAAGAATGTTGGAGATATAGTAGGAGGTGCTGCCAGTGCCAGTGCCGATGCGGTTGCGGATGCAGCTAAACCATTGCCAATGATATGGACGAAAACGCAAAGCTTTCTTGATTTAGTACCTGAACGTTTTACCGATGCTGAGAAACACAAAAGGTACGCAGCAAACAATTGCTCAGCGCCTGCTCCTGCTCCCCGCTAATTTCGCTAATTGTTTATATTTGCAGAGTGAAAGGAACATTTTTACCTATTTGTCGACTGCGTGAGGAATTCAACAGCTTGTACAAATATCTGGTGGCATTAGGCAGTCCAATTGTTTTCTCACACAACGACCTACTGCTGGGCAATGTCGTCTACACGAAATGCATGAAGACGGTCAACTTTATTGACTACGAGTATGCCGACTATAATTTCCAGGCCTTCGATATTGGCAATCATTTCGCGGAGATGTGCGGTGTCGATGAGGTGGACTATACGCGATATCCGAAGCGTGAGTTTCAATTGCAATGGCTGCGCGTCTACCTCGAGGAGTATCTGCAGCGTACGAATATACAGAGCGAAGAGGTTGACCTGCTTTACGTGCAGGTCAATCAGTTTGCCTTAGCATCGCATATCTTCTGGACAGTGTGGTCCCTATTACAAGCCGAGCATTCCACTATCGATTTCGATTATGTAGGGTAAGTGGTGCAAAATGCAGCAACATGTTTTTTGATGTATGTTTAGTAATTATTTCATTTGTGTCCCTAGCTATGCGTTTCTTCGCTACAATGAATACTTGGCCAGGAAGGAGGAGTTTTTATCATTGACTGCTGCATCGCAGAAGAACAATAAATGAGTTCTCTCCCTCTCACTATATATATATATATATATATTTATTTATATATTATGTGCCCCCAGTGATATATGTGTGTAAACTAAGGCTGGCAACGGGTCTCAATGTTATACATATGTATATATACTATAACGTGTGTGCGTGTGTGTTCACAAAACATCTGAAAAACCAAAACCAATCTTAAATTAGTGTCGTACTCGTGCCAGCCTTATAATATGTATATACATATATATATAAATATATATATATAAAGAATTTGTATATGTTCTTTAATTTGTAAATTGATATTTTGTAGTCATAAATAAAAACAAAAATTCAAAGTAATATACTTTAAAACATATACACACAAACAAAACATTCTATTGCACTCCGAATGTTTTATGGCGAAAATATTCGACTCTTCTATGCATGTAAACTGCACTCTTATAGAAGCCAGACAGGGGTTCATGCCCTTATACATACAATAAATACATACCTAGTAGTGGTAGATGCAACAGAGAGGTACATGTAAGAGAGGCTTCTTTTGTCTTATAATTTTCCCCCAAAACTCGCCTTAAGATTTATTTTCCGAACAACAACGTAGTTGGTTTATTTGTATGTGTGTGTGTTTCTGGGGATATCAAATATCTCCCCTTATGAAATTTGGCTTTTAAAGACACCATTGTGATTATTAACTGTTGTCGTCTACATGTAGTGTATATTGTTTATGAAGGCGGATTTGTACATGAAGCTTATTAGATTTTACAATTTCGATACAATTTATTTACTTTATACAAAAAAGGCTTGTTCGTATATTTTGTAATGGGTGTTACGCTCAACAGACCATTTTTACTACACTGTTGTCCGGTTGCCATCGCCGCCAAGTTTTTGAACAATCTGTAAAGAAATACAAAAATAAGAAAAGGCAAAAGATAAATAAAAATCGTCAATTATAAAAATTGGTTGCAAAATTATACGCATATTATTGTGTAATTGAATGAATTGTAAAAACAAAATTTCTTCGAAAAGAAACAGCCTGCGCGCCCCATCGAATTGAACTCAATCGATTAAGTTAAAGCAGCCCTGGTATCGATACAGAACTCGGTTGTCGCTGGTGACTGCTATCGGCAAGTCGAATCGAGGCAGTCTCATCACCAGCTGAAAGCAGCTGTCATTTGCCATACCAAAAAAAAATAAGAGCCAGGCGACCGAGTTTCTAGAATTATTTTCTATTTCCGTAAATAATGGCGAGCTACATTGCTAGGAAAGGTCCATCGGTTTTCTGTAAGTACTCTTTTAGATGGCTGCTATGGCGATGCGCACAAATGTGGCGCCGCTCTTGTGGCCTGAATGTTAGAATGATTACGTAAAATGTGTAACTCGAATTTTTTTTTTGCAACTGCAGCTAACCTGGGCAGATGGGCCTACAACATGTCTGGATTCAATCAGTACGGTAAGATGAGGCACTAATGGCATTAACAATTGCAACGATAGTGAATAAACCAATGAATGTTTATCGGTCCGAATGTAGGTCTGCACCGTGACGATTGTCTCTATGAGAACGAGGATGTGAAGGAAGCAGTCCGCCGTCTGCCCCGCAAGATCTACGACGAGCGCAACTATCGTATTATGCGTGCCCTGCATTTGTCCATGACCAAGACAATTTTGCCAAAGGAGCAGTGGACTAAGTATGAGGAGGATGTCAAATACTTGGAGCCCTACTTGAACGAGGTGGTAAAGGAGCGCGAGGAGCGTGAGGACTGGAACAAGAACCACTAAGAACTCAGGCCCTTCCAGTCGCAACCACTCGATTTGTAAATGTTGAAATACATAGCTTAGATGAAAACTAAATAAGCTATGAAATTAGCCTGTTTTGCATAGTCAACTAAAGGGGGAGATGCCATTTTAATTTATTAGAGGGTTAAATGCTCGTGTGGATCAATGGAGTCGTCACCGCTCTCTCCATGTGTGGTGTGTGGGTGTGTGGAATGTGATTTTGTGAGCTTAAGCGTTACGATATGCACCATTCTGCCTTACCTTTTGCATAAAGGGTAAATTGAATAGCGATCCCAAGACGGGCACACGTCCAAGGAAGTTGATGGCGACGGGAAAGAAGCCGCTGCAAAGATACAAAGAAGAACCAATAGATATCATTCACTTAACAATTGTGAAATGGAAGGTATTGCCGTTGCCTCGTATTCATTTAAACAATTCCGAATGCACAGACGCACGCACGTTAATACATAGAAAGAAAGCGCAAACGGACGGACACATGCGTGGACGGCATAGACAGCAATTTAAATGTTCATTTTAAGCACTGCTTTAGGGTCTGTAGATATGGGGAAAGGTCCTTCTACACCAATATTTGTGGTCAAACATTTACTTATGCAAATATCCTTCTATCCACGTAATTATCAGCGACAACACAATAATATATGGTTATAGCGAACCTGAATAGTGCAAAGAATCCATAGGATTCAACAATCATTCCAGTGATGGGGAAGCCCAGCAGAACGATGAAGATTCCACCAAAGAAGGCGGTTGTGCCTTTTACTTTATGTCTTTGAAAGAAAAAGCGCAAAGTTCGCTCCACGCCGATTACACATCCCAGTCCCGAAATGAACAGAATCTATGGGTGCGAATAAAGTTTGGTTAATTATGGGACGTCCATTAGGTGGAGTGGTGCAACAGCCTTGCACAGAACATACATTTCCAATTGCGAGTAAGCCTTTGTCGAACAGAAGCAGCATGCCAAGGAACAAAAACGATATGCCGAAGCCAGCCAAGCCAATGCCAATTTCTATGGAAAAGGGACTCAAGTAAGCTCACAGAAGTATTTCAATAGATTTAGTGTCAATGGGCTTACTCTGCAGATCTGTTACTTCAATCATTTTGTCCGTTTCTATTTATTTCGGTGAGAGTTTCGGACCTGATTGGAAATTCCACGTAAACACGTAAATTATTTAAAAATTGGAACAGCTGATTTCTACAATCTAAAAATGTATCGTATTAACGAATATAAACAATCATTCGCAGGGTTGCTGTGGCCCAAGTGCTGCGAAACGAAGTTGGAAATAAAAAAAGTAACGATTATGTGCATTTATGTATTAGTACAATTTATAAACCTAGAGTTAAATATTATCGTTTCCAATTATATAGTTTTAATTATACTCCCCCCGTTGACATTTTTTCTAGACACACTGGTCACGAAACTTAATTTTTAAATAGTCGAAATGCAGAAACTATGCAAATAATAATGTAAAAATATGACAAAAGCGATATGATGATATGTTTCCATTTAAAGAATAATTATAATCTAAATTCATAATAAATTCAGAAAAATAGTTTCGGGGATGATGTATTCAAAATAAATTCCAAAACAGTCCAACAAAATATCACCCCTACAAATATACTATCGGCCAGCACATACATATCGATATATCACATGTCATATATTTGCATCACCATTCTCCGCCATTTTGACAAAAGAATTTGTTCATAGCGTCCGAATATAATATCCGTGTTGGGAGTAATTAACTCCTTGTGTTGTTGAAAAGAGTATTTGCAGACGTTATTTGGGATGGATCGTAAGTACACCAACGGGATATATATTTAAGGAAGAAAAACACTAAAATATGTGTACTTTAGGGGGAGGTTATGGCGGCGGCGGCCAGGGCTTTAATAATTTTAATGTCCCTCCACCAAATATGCAGTCCAGCTACAATCAACCACCTCCAACCCAACGCGGCGGCGGAGGTAAGAACCTATTTAACATGCTAAAACATGTTAAAAAGCAAAAACTGATATACTTTTTTAATATCATCTAACTAGATTACGATTCCGGCATTCGTGGTTCTGGCGGCGATGGCGGTGGCCCTGGCTCATGGTCCGACAAACGAGGCGGCAGCTCATATGGGTATGTTATTAAAATACATTCGTTACGCTCAAATCGGGACCGGGGGTAGAGTTTTTCCACTGAGGTTACCATGATTTATGTTATCTTTTTTTATAAGAATGTGTTCATGAACCTATTCCATCGACCAAATACACGGGCCTGCAAAAATTTAAACTAGAATAAAATGTGAGACGCGTGAAAAAGCAATCGATATGTGTGTATGTATGTGTGCATGAGAGCATACATGTGTATTGAAAATGTTTTTTTTTTTTTTGAGGAAACGAAAAGGCAAAACATGCGGAAAATACCGCAAAGAGAAACACTTTAAGCGACCGGCTAGAAATAAAAATAAATGTTCAAGGAGAAAGCGACATTTGATTCGATATGTCGCTTCGCCTTTTGGTGGAAATCTATAAAAACAAAACAAACACACGCACACGCATAAACAAATTATGCATTTTGGTACTTGCAAAATATGTATGTTTATAGATAGATATTGCAGATAAAACCGCCGTTGTAACTGTGAAATTCTGTTCTTATCAATTCGTTAATTATCTGTGGCATAATTTTTGTATATAAATAATTATATTCATTTACATAAATGCATTATTGTATTTAAAAATGTAAATAAATTAAGGTGCAGACAACAGAAGCCTAAGGGACATGATGCAAAAAGCTGTTTAAAATTTGCAGCAAATACAAAAAACAGAGTTAAATTAACAATGAAATCGTTCTGGGTAAAGTTAAATGTGGTATCAAGATATAAGCAACTATCTCTCATTTCTACCGACTGTGCATTTACATGCAAATTAAACAAAACATCAAAGGGTGACCCTTCTATGGAACAAAAGAAGCTACGTGTTATATCAAAAAAATACTTTTAAGAAACAAGAAACCATAATCCGAGTTGAGTACGGCCAATGCATGGGATATGTTTAGGCTACGGCACCAAACAAACAAACGAGCGAACTCGATCTGCAATTTTGATCTACAGGCGCATAAATACAACATCACAGCGCATGTCCGATTATAAACAATTAAAAACAAAAGAAAACCAAGAAATCTAAACAAGATTATTGTGTTACATGTAAGAAGAAAAATGGAAAAAACCAAAAATATTAGTCGATTGGGTATCTAATTTTCGTTGAAATCGGAACATTTTCTGTGACTATCCTTAGAGCCTAAGCTACGAATAGTAAATCTCTTGAATATACAAAACTATAGAGTATATTCACAGCCCTTACCCCTTCCAATTTAAGAGTTTATTTAGAATAATGGGTTGCTATATCGGCTGGAACGGGGGAAAAGGTGGCTGGCAAATTTGGTATTGCAAAGTCTGATTACAATCTGGTTATTTGTCACGTTAATGCGTGCATTTCCTAGCTATTAAGTTAACTAATCTTAAGCCAAACCACAAGTGATATTCAATAGAATAATACCAATTATGTTTATTATTATTTTAGAATATAGAATAAGCGTTTGTATTGTGATGTCTCTTGTCTAGAGTAAATTTAATCAGTTTTACATAAATATATATGTAGATATAAGTCTTATGATTATTATGTAGAGTGAAATGAAACCAATAGTTTTGCGGTATCCACCAGAGCAGTTGTGATCCGCTATTCGGTTCTCCGGTTCGGTTTGAGTTGAATCGATCGGGGGACTCGACGTGCGATCTATCCTATGCTGGTGGTGGAGACCGACCTATCCAAGTTGTTCGCACAATATATTGAAACGAGCCGCAAAAGTCAAGAATATGTATTTGCTGCCTTACAAAACCCCAAAACAAATCGAAATTCAAACATTAAATAAGTTCATTCAATATCCTTTTTTAGAAATGGAGGCGCCAACAAGGACAGCTACAGCAAAGGTAAAAATAATGCAAATAGACTGCAATCCTATCGAGTAATGTATACCAATATTTTTCTACATATTGAACTTAAAAAAAAAAAACAAAACAAGGATCCTAAAATCAAAAATCTCAAATTCCAAATCGAAAGGAAAGCAAAGCAAAGCAAAGCAAAGCAAAGGCGGCATTATTTGGTCGTTATTTTCCATCGTTTTATTAGGATATTTAGGATAGAGTGTGTTACATCTAAAGCGAATTTCATGGTGGTGTTATCTATATACATATATGGTTAAGGATGGACTTAAAAAGTGTTGTTACATTACCGAGGTACTCTAGGGGTTTGTAGGAGGTGTCCAGAAGAGTCCTGCTGCAATCTAGCTATACTTTTGTATCACAAAACAATTGTGTTGTATCTGTCGTGTGCGTACTGTTGTGGTTTTAATGTAAAGCACTATCTCTCGGTATATTTACAAATATGCAAGCAAGGTTGTTTGTTGGTTTGATCCTGAAGAAGTGGTCGGTCGTCGGTCGGTTGGTTTGGTTTGGTGACTGACGGGGCGGCACTGTGCTTAAGCGAGTCAGCAGCTGGCCTTCTTTGCCTTGCGGCCATTTGGTGTTGCTAATTCTCATATATTTTATTATTCGTTTTTGCCAATTGCAGTGCAGTTTGTCCCATCTACGAAAATAACATACTATACATACAGAGATGGGCAATGGGAATCTAATTGCTTTCTTGTTGCAAAATATTTATAGTAAAATGTTCCATTTTCAGAGCGTAAAAGTGCGTTTGTTTGGCAAAACACTGCTGCTTTCTCGTTTAGCCAGTGGCTCAATCACTTCCTCTCTCTCTTCCTCACTCTCTTCTGTGTATGTGTTTTTTTGTCGTTTTTCGGGAGAGCCAGTGGGGTAAATAGGGCTAAGATAAAACTCTTTCCCCCTCTTTATCTGTCTCTTCGCTCTCTATTTCTTCCGCTCGTCACTTCCCCTCTCCTGTCTCATACTGGCTAAAGGTTCTTTGAAACAAAAACAAAATTAAAAAAAAAGGTTTTCTGAAATTGTTTTGGTGTCGCACAAACGCCGCTGCAAAATTCTGGTATTTATATTGCTAAGCAAGGATTTTAGTAGCAGCGCGCCCCGGCATGGGCGATATATGGTGTTTACGTTTACCCCCGATCCATTGATCGGCAGAGTCCGGTGTTACAATGCCCATTTATACATTTATACTATTTGTACATTAAGAGCGCGCGCGCACACCTGTCTGTTGGGAGAGGGGCCCCAAGTCGTGAAAGGAAACCAATCCGCAAAATCCAATAATCTTTGTTTAAATAAGCTGTTTATTGCCCTCTGTGCAGCGCATTCTAACACTGTTTTGGCCATTTTTGTAGGACCCATGGGAGGCGGCGGCGGTGGTAGCGGTGGCAGTGGCGATATGATTACTCAAGATGATACCATATTTGTCTCTGGAATGGATGCAAACACAACAGAGCAGGATATTGAGACGCATTTCGGTGCCATTGGCATCATCAAGGCAAGTATTATGTTCACTTGTTCCCTGTGTCTATGTTCTAATCGAAATTAACTCTGTTCTTGTTTCATATTGCAGAAGGATAAGCGTACCATGAAGCCAAAGATTTGGCTCTACAAGAACAAGGACACAGGCCTGTCGAAGGGTGAGGCCACCGTTACATACGATGACACCAATGCTGCCCAGTCCGCCATCGAATGGTTTGACGGACGTGTCTTCAAGGGAGCCAATATCAAAGTATCTCTCGCACAGCGTCAGAGCACCTGGAACAAGGGCGGCGGTGGTCGCGGCGGCTTCGGTGGTCGTCCACGCGGTGGTGGTGGCGGCGGAGGCGGTGGTCGTTTTGATCGCGGCGGTGGTGGCGGCGGAGGAGGCGGTGGTCGCTTCGATCGCGGCGGTGGTGGTGGTGGAGGCGGCGGTGGTGGTGCCGGCGGCAATGTTCAACCCCGCGATGGCGATTGGAAGTGCAACAATTGCAACAACACCAACTTCGCCTGGCGCAATGAGTGCAACCGGTGAGTTAGCGCTCGCATTTAAACCTTCCCTATGAATGCCCATCTAATTCTACAATCTTTTTGCAGCTGCAAGACTCCCAAAGGAGGCGAAGATGGCGGTGGTTCCGGTGGCAGCAGCGGTGGATACGGCGGTGGTGGAGGCGGCGGCGGCGGTGGCTACGGTGGCATGGACCGCAACGATCGTGGAATGAATGACCGTGGAGGCGATCGCTCTGGCGGCGGCGGCGGTGGCGGTGGATACCAAAATAGAGACCGTGGGGGCAACTCAGGCGGCGGTGGCCGCTATTCAAACGAGAATGGCCGTGATGGCGGCGGCGGTGGTCGCGGTGGCGGAGGACGTGGTGGCGGCGGTGGAGCTAATCGCAGAGATGGCGGCGGTGCTATGCGAAACGACGGCGGCATGCGCTCCAGGCCATACTAATGACCTGTGCTTTGGTGGTGACTCTATGACCCCCAATTTTTCAGATTTACGTATTAATCGTAGCGAAAAGTAACCTTATCAAAAGTTTACCCCAGTCAAAGCAAAAGATACAAAAGCGCAACCACATCAACCATTTTATCTGATTTTACGCCCCTCCCCCCAGCAACAACAACACAAGCTCACAACTCTATCCTACCTTCTTTTATCGATCGTTTTGACTTAGACTATACATACATACATGTAATCTAATTTAAAAAACACTATTTGTAATATTGAAACAAAAAAAAACAAAAAATTATAAAATTACATATATACATATATATATGTGTGTATTTTTATAATTGTAAATACATATATATATATATACATTATATATAATATAAGAGGTCCTCAATCACTTAATACTTTGGTGGGACTGGGAAGATGCCAAACCAAATCTATGCATCTAGGCATGCAAGGTGGCTTCTATTTAGTCTTGCGGCACACGCTTGCGCCTCTCGAGAAGAATCATTATTAGTTCTTTTGTCGAGATCTCACTTCCACAAATATGTAAATATCTAGGCTATGCGGTGACCGGAAAGCTTCTGTCTCATGTGCTGCCGCTCACGTACGCTGTACATTTGAGAGTTCGTTTGGAAAACACATTTGTCTTTGCATAAAGATAGCTTCGTAAATTTGCCTGAGTCTAATTAGCTAGCTATTCATTGCAAGTGGTAGAAATATCTAAATTATACGCGACAAATACGGAAGCTGTTAAAACTTAGATATCAGCGAAACCCGATAATTGTTTTCCATTGATAGTTGAATATGTCAGAAAGTCTTTGCGGGTGAACTTTTCTCAAGAATCATCTTTCTTTTGAGAGATAATAATAATCTTAAAAGCATGAACAACAAATTCACCCTAATAGAATAGCAAACATAGCCATTATCGTACATTTTTCTTTAAACACCTTGAATAAGTAAATATTTGCAGTGGTTTCTTGGGAATGTGTGTTTTGTTTTTATAAAATTTTTGTTTTAATATTATTTCTTGAATATACATTAGTTAATATTACAGTTCATCTTTTTCTAGCAGGGTATAGCGGTGCTTGGATGGGCCCAGTTCCTTGAATTTCGATTCGGGCGGTGAGGTACCTTTGCCGGTATGTGGATCAGGATGTATATCATTATTTGAGGGATCCGGCCCATAATGAAACTCCCTATACAACAACAAAAACAAACACAAAAAGGGTATCAAAAAGTTGTGTAAAACGTTTGCGTTGTAATTTTTGTATACCTGTGCAGCTTCCCGCTGTAGAGATCCTGGAGGAATTGCTTTAGCTTGCCCGGCGTGTACATATCACTAAAGTGGGGGAACAGATACATGTGCTTGAACGAATCGATGGCTATCAATGGCAGATCGTCCTCGGACTTTCCCAAATGGTGCAGCGGATGGGCAAACCGCTTGCCATCTGCCGTCAAAAAGTTTACATTCTCTGGAAAAAAAAACAAAACAAAGCATAAATCAGACGAAAGCTTATGACATTTATATGTATGGTACGTACGTTTCTCATCTAGCAGCTGCCGCTCAATAATGGACTTGTAATCCTTGATGGAGTTGAGATCGTCTGGCCGGTGAAACAGAATCAGGAACGGCAGTCCTTCTTCGGTAAGCTCCTCGGCATTCTCAAAGGTGATTTCCCTAACTAGCGGCACACACTTTTCCTGTATCCATATCTTTAGTTCATCGAAATTTTGCAGGCTGCCAGTGTAGGTCTCATCGTTCTCATGCGACAAAGCCACATCCGGTCTAAACACAATGATGGGGGTTCCTATACAATCAAATCAATCGAACGTAAAATGAGCCGTGAATGTTTGATTTTAACGATTCCCTTACCAGGTGGATGCATGGCCTGTGAGGCATCACCGAAACCCACATGGAACTGGCAATCTTCTTTCAAATTTGTAGCCACCTTGCGGAAGGTGTCATATTCCGGCTGATCCCTGCGATCAAAGTAGCCTAATATGAGGCGTTTCTTAGAGTCCAGATTCTCCAGATCCTTCAGCGACTTAAACTCCTGTATGGGATCCTCCAGTTGTTTCTTGACAAACTCCAGGAAAGCATCCGCCGAACGCTGGCCGCGATATTCACGCTTGCTAAGCTGTCCATTTCGTACAATTTTCAATGTTGGATATTTATTGATATGAAACCGTGAGGCAATGGATGTCTCCTTGTCACAATCCACTTTGCCAAGCACCACACGGCCGGCATCGGGGAATTCCGCCTTGATCTGTAAGCAAATACACTTTAATATTTGAAAGGAATTTGAGGCGTTTTGATTATAGCTTACCTTGTCTGCAGCTTCGCTGAATATGGGAGCTAGGATATTACTAAAACGACACCATTCGGCATAAAAATTAAGGAAAACCAATTCATTAGACGCTGCAAAAAGATACAAAAGAGGTAAACATTACACATCAGACAATTATCACACAGCATCTAAATAGAGGAATTGAGGTTGTTTGTTGTTCAGCGGAGAGGGCAGATAAGATAAAGAAAACAACTGCTCTATAGAAAGCCAATCTGTCAAGATTTTAGCCCTTCCATACGATTCATCTGTTCTTATGTTCGAAGTAATTCCAGCAATGACTCACTCACGTGGCAGTCAAGTGTTTATGTTATGAAAGGAACAAGTGTGAAACCAGATGTGTGTGTATAAAAAGGTAAGATGATATTGTATCCCCCCCCCCCCCCCCCACTCAATTAACAGAGAAAACTCAAATTGTTGTAATAACTAACTTCATTTCTGTAGAAATTGTATTGTTTTAGCCCCTGTTGTTGGTTTTTAGACACGTTGGCAGCAGGTCGCGTCAATACGCCTGCCAACAACAACAGGCCACACCAGACCAATTTGCCGGGCCAATGGCTTTTTGTGTGAAACTTGTGACACGTCAACTTGCCCACCAAAATGTTGGCTAATTGATTTTCTGCATTCTGATGCGCAGCGGATGAACCGTGTCCACCACCAATTGGTACCTTACCTAATGTCATATCAATGTTTTCACTGGTCATGGGCACCGCTCCCGCCGCATCTGTGGCCGCTGGATGTTGGAGGAGATGAATTATCTGGAATTATGCATAAAATCGCGCAACTTAGTTTGCAGGTATTGCAGTGCTGTATGGTGTTGGGGTGATATGTTTTGGGCGTGGAGTGACAGACAGACAAGCGGGCGGACAGCCAGTCGGGCGACAGCATCTTACGAATTATTTTCATGCTCTAAGCCGGGTGACCGAGCGCGCGACCGCTGCGTCGACCGCCGTCTGGTGTGCCATCGTCGTCGTCCAGCCAGTGTGTTTTCTGCGGCATTGGAACACGTCGACTCACCGCTAGCAGAGCTATGCTGGGCCCCAGCTTTTGAATTCTTGCTTCAATCATTCTGGGGGACTGGCTGTGGGTGGGGGGCTGCGACTAATTGCACACAGAAATGGACACCAAGTTATTGAATTAGATTCAGTTCGGCATGGATTGGAATGAACTGTCGCGTCGCACTGCAAATTTACAAAAAAAATTTCAACAATTTAGCTGGTTGATAGGGCTGCAAGACCATCGATGGCCCTATCGATGATATCGATGGTTGTGGAATTGTGCGAAAAATCGTTTCTGAGAAAAAGTAAAAACGTAGAAGTAGTGGCAGTAGTGGCAGTAGTAGCCAAGTAGTAGCTAAAAACCTGTGGAAACCCAATATTCAAACGGATACCTCAAACTACTAAATCGCTAAAGAAATGAATGATTAGAGAATTAATGGTTGCTTCTCTGTTATTGAAAAAAGAAAATTGCAAGCCATGCCATATTTATAATGGACGATTGCAAGATCCCATCGACTTATAGTCTTTAATATTTGAAAAGTTTTCGATGGAAATTTAGATATATCGATGCAGCCCTGGTGTATACAAGAACAAAGTTTCAACAATTCGTCTGGTGACTATTTGCCTTCCAGTGTTGATAGCCGCTGGAAACTGAAGCCCATGAATCAAATTTTTTGACGACCGAATCAGGTATGTTATTCGTATGGAAACGATAAGAATTCATCCCTGATTTTTGTTCCACAAAACATTTAGCAGCCAGCTTTAGCCAATTATCGGAATATTTCTAAGATTCAGACGTTCACACTAAAATAAGCAATAAAGAATAAAGAAGAAGAAAGTCGATAAATGGAATTTGGCGGACATCCGTATATTTTGGTATGGATTTCTGGTGGTAAATAGAGCAAAGCAAAGAAAAAACAGACTACAATCGCGTTTTAAATTCGGCAATAAAGTTAACAAGTATATGTACATTCCTAAGAAGTTTTATCAAAGTTTTTTGTTTGGCCACAAATGTGTGTGTGTGGTGCGCACATGCATATACATATTTACGATTGTTTTGTGTTATTGTTGCGTTCGAAATATCGGAATATGTACATACATACAAACGTACATATAAATATTTAATTACTTTGTTTATGACAACATAATTCTGTCTTTTGGCATTGAACAACTCAATCAACAAGGATCTAACCGAACATTTCAAGTACGACAATTGCATTATTTTTTCTCAACTTCAATCTTATTGGTAATGGAAATCACGATAATCTGGCAGTAAATATACAAGCATACACCCCATATGTACACTCAAACATACATATGTATGTAGTGCGCACCTTCGGGCGATTGCAGCTGTGTGCCATACAAATGTATGTATGTACATATGTTCGTATGCAGTCCGTATTATCTATATTGCCACCACGACATACAAAACAAAATTAACTTCGATTTGTTCTGAAGGTGTTGGTTGGTATTTGTTGTATATAGTGCGTGTAGGACGAAGGTATGCTACCTTCAAACATTCACACAGATATGCATATGCATATGTATGTATGTATTTACATATGCAGATACATTGTATAAGTGCCCCCGCATATCGAGAAACTTAACGGAACGCCAGATTGCCGACGTCCCATCTCGTACCCCAACGTCACGTCGTCCCTTCCATCACACACACACACACACATAAACAACGCATAGGGACGTTCCGTAAGACTTGTGATGGCAGACGCTTTTCCAAGACAAGAAAGCAGAAGCAATCTAATGCAAACCCTCTCCACCGGAACTCAATCTTCACTCCACTGTTAGAGCCAGGACATGGCTGGAGAAACTCTCATTCTACATTCTGAATGGGTAGTGGGTGGGGTCACCAACGACCTGCCTCTTAATGATCTTGATCTCAAACCTTAACCCAAACTTACAAATGTACAACATTGCAATATACATATGTAAACACATGCACACATACAATTGTTCGAATGCACGCACTTGTAGTATCTCTAAATATACATACATACTACATATACATATGCATATAATAAGTATGGTTAGTGAATGCTAACCGGATTTTTGCAAAAAACAATCACCTAATGCGAGCAAATATACATGTGTACATACATTAAATATAAGCAAACAATATAATACTGTATGCATTATATATAGTCTTATTTTAGCCGATTCACACAATGTCAGATGGATCACCGCCTCCATCGATTTGCTTTATACGCGCCGCCGAATCTTATCCAAAATCACAAATGGAGAAGGAAGACTCGCAGCTATTTGTACCATTTCCAGAACGTATGTGTGGCCAAAAACAATACTATTATTATTAACATTAATGTTCCCGATTTCCGACAATCATTATATTCAACAGTTGCTGGCGAGTCAATCAAGTACCTAGGACGTACCGATGATGGTGTTCTGGCGCTGTCAAATTATCGCATATTTTTATCAAAAAAATCAACGGCATACGAGACTTATGTTCCCTTGGGTCTGATCGAATCGGTGCAGGTGCGTGACCTGTTCCAGCTGATTGTCAATTGCAAGGATGCCAGCACGGTAAGGTGCTCCTTTCAGTCCGCCGAGCAATGCTCGGAATGGCAGCGACGCATTCAGCTGCTAATCGGTGTACCTGTATCGCTGGAGACGCTCTTTGCCTTCCCCTTTTACTCGTGGACCTGTGACATTATCGGAACAGCCAATGCCAATGCCAATGCCCATGCCCATGCCAATGGTAATGGCTATGGAAAAGAGCGAATTCCTTTGTCAAATGGTTCCGGATTTGGATCTTGTGTGAAACCCCCTGCCTTATTCAGTGAGACCTTTCCAACGGCCTGCGAGATAGCAGCACCGCAGGCAAGCAATCGCTTGCAGCGTGAAGTTCGATATGAGAGTGATTTCAAGAATGAGGTGGCACGTCTGGGCTTCGATTTGAAGGGCTCGTGGCGCATCTCGACAGCAAATGCCGACTTTAAGCTTTGTCCATCGTATCCGCCAAAATTGCTTGTTCCTTGCTGCATCACCGACGAAATGCTCCACAATGTGGCCAACTTTCGTGGTTCACGGCGTCTGCCGGCCGTCGTCTGGCGGCATCAGAAGTCTGGTGCCATATTGGCACGCTGCAGTCAGCCGGAGGTCGGTTGGCTAGGTTGGCGGAACACCAAAGATGAGCAACTGCTGAAAGCTCTGGCCGATGCCTGTGCTTTTGACAGAGGAGAGCATAACAGGCGACAGACACAGACACAATCCTCAAAGGCCCAAGCACACGCTTACGCCGCTGCTTCAAAGGACACAAACGGGCAGTCAAATAGCTCGGGCAATAGCTCACCGTCGCTGGATGACTCATCGTCGCATGAAGAGCTGGCCCTCGACGAAATACGAGTAAGTTTTCCCACTTAATGTTTGCCTATTCCGATATTTATTTATAATCCATTTTCTTTGAATTTCAAGAAAATTCTCATTGTTGATGCACGCAGCTATACATCGGCTGTGACGAATCGTGCACGCGGTGGCGGCTGTGAATGCATTGAGTATTATCCATGCGCCGAAATCGAATTCATGAGCTTGGGTAACATTCATGCGATTCGTAAGAGTTTTCATGCAGTCCGGCAGCTGTGCGCCTCATCGCCTGATGATCCAAAGTGAGTAAAAGTTTCTTGGAAAGTTCTTAGGAACTTGACTGTGCTTGACTGTGAAATCCCATGCCCGCTCTGGACGTTTTCCTGAGTCCTGGACAGCATGGCGATTACTCTTCATAGACGTCTCAAAATGGTTATTTATACTCTGTTCCCCCCAATTATCTTCTAGTTGGTTTGGGCAGTTGGAAAAGACCATGTGGATGCAGCATTTGTCGGGTCTACTGGGCGCAGCCATGACCGTTGTCCACACTATCGAAAAGAACGGACGACCCGTGCTAGTGCACTGCTCCGATGGTTGGGATCGTACGCCACAGATTGTGGCCACAGCGCAACTGTGTCTGGATCCATACTATCGAACTGTTGAAGTATGCCCCTCAATAATCGAATCCCTAAAAAGCAAAAATAATTAAAATCCCTTCTCTTTTGGACAGGGTTTCCGTGTTCTGGTTCAACGGGAATGGTTGAATTTTGGTCACAAATTCGCCGATCGTTCGGGCAATGGTCCCAACTCTGATGAGGTGAACGAGCGTTGCCCCGTTTTTTTACAATGGCTGGACCTGGTGCATCAAATCCATAGACAGTATCCATGCAGTTTTGAATTCAGTATTGGCTACTTGGTAAGACGAGATTCCCACTGCCTTTAAGGGACATTTGTATCTTTATTTCGTTCTACTTGCAGATAAAACTAGCACAACACTCGCTGTCCTGCCTGTTTGGCACTTTCCTATGCAACTCGTTGAGGGAACGCATTGAGAATTCCGTTTTTGATCGTACGTTTTCAGTGTGGCCATTTTTAGCTGAAACTATGTATAGAAATCCACTCTATAAGCATGAGACTGAAAAGGTACACTCCACAAAAACATATAGCTTCAAGTCAGTCCAAACAGTCTCTATCCTCATCTTTTTCAATGCATGTTTGTTTTCAGGTTCTTTGGCCAGCGCACAGTGTGCGGTTTTTATATTTTTGGTCTGACGTTTATCTTGGTAGCTTAGGCAACAAAAATGGTACTGATCTTCCATTACTAAGTAATGAACGACAAAGTGCCCATAATGGTAAGTAGATAAAAAACATTTAAAACATAACTTAATTGCGATTAAAAATCAAAAAAAAATCCACAAGAAACATTTCTAATCGAATTAATGCCCACATTATAGGTCCGTTGACAAAAACACGATCCTCTGAAGATTTAACAACGAATGAATTGGGTCAGAGCACCATTTCGAGGAGATCGAGTGATCCAAATCTGACCGTGGAATCAATGTGGGTGTTGTAAATTATACCTACGACATTTATAGCACTAACTATACACCCATTTACAGTGTTTCCGAGTGCGCTTTAAATGTGAATAGTAACTCAATGTTTGATATACGATCGGAGGCAGACAGGAGGCAGTGTGGTAGTGCAAATAATGTCCCTGATAATGTAAAAGACTCCAAAGAACCAGAGGTAAAGCTTAAGGGTGTCGAAGACGAGACAGATGCCAGTTGTGGCTCTACAAAGTGGACCTCCAAGCAGTTGAAAAACGACCAAAGTACAGCTTCTAACCGTGATATAATATTGGAAGCAGCAGCATCAGTGACGGCGCCAGAGCCAT